AGGACGGCGAACGCATCAAGATCATCAAGACAACTGTGCACCCGAAGTACGAAGTATTACCGTTCGACTACAACATTGCCATTCTTGAATTGGAAACCGCATCCAAATTCACCCCCGTCGCCGTCAACTTGAAAGAAGACGATGCGACTGATCCTGGCGCCGTGACGTGGGTGCGTGGCTTCGGCAAAACTACGTCTTTCAAGAAGGACAACTCCCCCGTCCTTTTGCAAGCCGAACGCAATATCTTGGCGAACGACGAGTGCCAAAAGGCGTTGGGACATGACTTCGAAGCCCTCGAATCCGTGGTGTGTACCACTAGCGCCGACAAGGGCCCGTGCATCAGCGACATTGGCGCACCGTTGATCATCGTCCGCGACGGTGTCGAGTACGTTGCCGGTGTGTCGATTACGTCCGGTGCTTGCCAGGACATTGCGCTCCCTATTGTGTACTTGCGCGTGTCGGCCGCCCGCGAGTTCATCAAACCATTCTTACCTGACACCCCCCACTAAACCCCAAGCCGCCTGCTTGCTAAGTACTCGATGTTGTATAACGCAGTTGGACTTGTCCATACGAATGCTGCTTACTGTTAGCTCGCGCAAAACTCGTTGGTCGCATCCTAGTATGTCTGTGGACACCGTGAAGAAGACCGTCATCAGTCCCCTAGTGCTCAGCTTTCATATCCTGGTCAGGGCGAAAGAAACCAGTCCTTGGTGCCAACCCACCACTGGTTCACAGCTGGTCATATCCTGGTCAGGGCTGTTGTTGCCTGTGCTGTGAGAATGAACCCAGCTACACATTGTAGTGTCTCTTGGAGACGAGGCACAAATAACACCAACGAGGCGCAAGCTCCCGCAAGTCGGCGCAAGCTTTGTGAGAGACCCGTTCCTTTTCAGGTGCCCTGGAAGAGTTATCTAGCCCCCGTCCGCTCTTTGAACGCCCATACGAAGTTGTTTGCATTGGCCCACACAGTCGGCACATTGGTGCATTTTCACAAATCGCCACGTTGGCGAGACGACGTGTCGCCAGCCGCCACCATGACATGAATTCCGCCGAGCACAACAGCGGCAACTGTTGTTGCGCCAGGAAAAGCCAAGGTAGAGTCGAGTCTCCAGTAGGACGCAGTCTGCCACCAAACATTACCGCCGCCGCACGATCGATCGATCGAGCGCGCCGAGCAGCATGAACGGCGCATGCGTTACCTTTTGACATGGACAGAACAGGTGCGAAAGAGCGCGGTTTCCGCCCAAGGTGTCCGGCAGCCGCGACGGCGGTGGCGAGCGCGTCGGCGCTGGACGTGCGAGATGAACAAGTTGCAGCGACAATAAATACGGGCTCGCTCAACAATCTGTCGAGACTGCGACGAGAGCAACATGCACGGCCACACAGAGCTGCAGCACACGGGATGGCGCGACGGAGCTTGGCGCGGGTTTCGAAGGAGGCAACGTGTTGATGTCTACGACCGAGCGGGTGGATGGAGGCGGCGCCGTGATGGTCGGTACAGTCGCATTCTCACGTGTGCTGTTGGTCGCGTTGGACGGCATCTTGGACGATGGCTGGGGTGGCGGCGCGCACCACTCGGCAACAAACTCGTCGTAGGATCTCGCGACCGACGACGGCTGGGTCGGCGACAGCAGGCACACAGGCGAGATCGTGCGCACCGCAGCGTTGTACGCGTCGTTGAAGGCGGAGCAGGCCGAGTTGTTGACGAGGAGGCGGCAGTGGGTCGCGGTTGCCCGCTGGAGTGCAAGGAATTGCCTTGGCAGCATATCGAGCGACTGCGCACATGCACCGACAGGACCGGCGGAGTTTTTGAACAAGTCGTTCGCTGCCTCTTGAATCGCGGCTCGCGAGCACAGACTCATGGACGAATACACTGGCGAAGTGGCCACCGAGTTGAGTGTGATGGTTGGGTCGACGGCCGAAGCGATGGCGGCGGCGCACAGCACAACGACGACAGCAAAGCAGCACGGCAGCATCGTTGCCTGCGGCGGGGAAAATAAAAATGAGCAACGTGGACAGGCGACATGCCGCTGCGTGCCAGCCGCCTGTTTCTGCTGGGCAGCACATGCACCCAAGGGCGATCATGAGCAATTCCTTTAAATGAACATCTCACTCCAAACTCAAGCAGCTTTCACATCACACACGCACGGTTCCACAGAGGAGCGAGGTCGAGTACGAGTGCCGTCGCTCTTGGCCTTTCGTTGCAACAGCAGAACGAGAACTCGTGCCGCGAGCGCGACCCGCCGGCGCATCGGACGCGGTTCTACCGTGGTACAAAGAGTTGGTGGAATATATACAGGAATTCCTCGATGCCACGGTTGTTCAAGATGTGAATTCGATGGACATGCTGGGGCCACCCCTCTCTCTCGTGGTGGGTGGAGCGAGCCGCGCAGCCCACACGAAGGACGCAACCACCGCGGAGAGCTCCAGCTACCGATGGCTAGCGTGCCACCCTACCCAGCAACAGAACCGCGAAAAAACGAAGTCAACCTCTGACTTGCATAACCTTCCGACGGTATTTGTTTCGTGGGGTGACCAACGTGTCCAGGCAGCTGGTGCCTTCACCAGTATACTCATTCCAGTTGCCTTCGAACCATGTTGGGACGAGGGTGCGTCGGCCACCCGCGAGTTGGCCAGTTCGGCGCTTCGCAGCATTCCATCGAACACGGCGAAAAGTCTCCATGGCTACATCTTCTGCACCCAAGGTGCTTTCGTAAGGAATCCGCGCGGCTCACGCCGATAGATGCTTCCAGGCCGGATGCGTTGGACCTGCGTCCCGCTTTCCCACAAGTCGCCGCGACGTGTGTGTGACAACCGGTCGATCATCCCACACTGCCCACATGCTTCTCCGACACGAGTACAGAATGGGGGCACGCGCGAAACGTGCTGCATCGATTGATCGCGCATGTCCTTGTGGTTGCTACGTCGCCGTGATCCATAGCGACGAACGACAAGCGGCGCCGCCCGCGCAACTTCACGTCGAGCCAGGTGACGTTTCGAGCCGTGTTCCCGAAAATTCCACGAAAATCTTTTTTTGCCACTCGGACTTTGTGCAATGTAGTACGCTAAAAACGAGTCGAAAAAAAAAACCACCAAAAATCCGATTTCAATTCGATGGATTGTTGTCGTTGCTCCCGTTCGGACCGAGGCAACCCTCGACACTTTCGAGACCCAACCGCGCATCATACGACGTCCCGTCGACAAACGTGACGCTCCATCCAGGCATTCCACGGACTGCTACCTCCTCTGCATGAACATTCTCAAACACATCCGCGACTACACACGACGATGTCATGTTTCGTCCCGACAGATTTAAAAAAAGAACGAAATTTGTTTCGTTGCACTTTACGGAGATGGCCCAGAAATCGTTTGGGACGATCATTTACTGAGAAAATCGGAAATAAATCACAGGATATTTCTTCCGGAAAATAGTAAATCGGAAATAAATCGCAGGAAATCCATGCGATGCTGCTGCGGTGGGAAGAATGGATACGTTCCGCTGCTGCTTTCACAGTCGACGATACACGCCGCCGCCCCCGTCGTCGTTTTCCACGCGTCACATCATCCACTGACTGTGTCGTGGAGCGCGCTCTTGAAGCGGTTTACACCGCCTGACGCTCGACGGGTTCCCTTCGGGACGTCGGTATCACGACAGTCGAGTCTGTCGTCGCGTTACGTTGCCACGTCATGGCGTTCGAGAATCGAGTCGACTATCGAATGCGCAAGCAAAGCATGCTGGCTCGGGCCGGAGTAGATTGAAGCGCCAACGTCTCGGATGAGCCGATGCATTCGTCATTCGAACGTTCTAGCGCAAGAGCGACAAAGGATGTCCTGCGCTCCCATGTCCTCTTGGCACGCCTTCGTGAAAACATCGTTCTTGGTCGTGTGGCACGCTGCCAAGCCCAAAATGGAAAGTCCTTGCGTCGGCGCAGCAACGAGACGGCAAAGATCAGCAGGTGATGGCCATGAGGCAGCTCGACCCCGGAATGGGGAGAAGTGCAATGTACTGGGAACGATGTAGTGGACGCCGGTCTCGAAACACGACCGAGTTGTGGGCACTGGGATGCCCGCCACATGAGCAAACGGACAAAAACTCACGTGCTACCAGGGGTTTCATGTGCAAGCGAGCACACTACCATGGCCAATGTCCTGGACAACGTGGCGCCCGCAAAAGGATATGTACTCCACATACGGGTACATTTTGAAATATCCGTCCCCGAACCACCGCGGGCGACAGCACCGCCGCATGCAATGCCGACGTGAAGCTGTGTATCGCGCACCACCTGTTTGCAACCACAAAAGCCCTCGACTCGTTCCCAACGTGATGCTCGTGCTGGACACGTATCGACGGAGAAACACAAACGTCCCGAGCACATCGCTTGTGCATGGCGCATGCCTTTGGATCACGCAAAGGCACGTCACATGTGGAAAACGCTCTAAATACAATTAAGTAGGTGTAGCAACACTGCTTATTGGATCGCGGCCCACGTCGCGGCGAGAACGGCAACGCTGGCGACGGCCGCCGAAGCAGACGACGTCGTGGGAGCAGGGGTCGGGGCCTTCGTCGCGGGTTTGACCGTGGTGGGCTCGGCCGTGATTTCCTCATCCGGGGCGACAATAATCGTCGAGTTGGTCGAGTTGGTCGAGTTCTTTGTGACGTTCGCCAGAGTCACAATCGGTTTGATGGTGGTAGTCACAGAGGGCTTCGCGGTCGTTGTCGCCGATTGACCAGCAGCGACAGCGGCGATGGCGGCGACGACGAAAAAGACTTGCATGGTGTTAAAAGGTCGGCGAAAATGCGAGAATGACTCGGGTGAGCCCTCCTTTGGGCAAACTTCAAATTCTTGAAATTTGTCTGGTGGCTACACCTGTTGGACACGTGAGCCATCCACAGCAGGTTCGTGCGATGCCATTGGTCCATGGAATCCACATGACCTTTCAGCATCCAATCAAATCGATGGATCTGAGTGGGATGTCTTCCACTTCCGACCGCCGTCCGCTCTCGCCATCAAAGCGACGGCAGGGAGGCCAGCCAGCTGCGCGACAGCCTCTTGGCTAGGCTGCTGGTTGACCAGCGCAGCTCTGCGCCGGAGGAGGGAGGCGGTCGATGGCGTAAAGTCAATGCGTGGAGGCTCTCGCGAACGTGTGTACAGCGACACGTGGTCTCTCGGAACAGTCCCGTCATTGTTTTGCAATACAAAATGCAAGACATCGTCTGGCTGTCCAGTCTCATAGGCTCCACCACGAACACTTGCGAAGGGTGCGGTCTGTCGTCTGGTTGGTAACGAGTGAGTCCCAAGCACTTCCAAGTTGCCATAGCCGCGCCGCCTTCGCAGCGCAGCCAGAGCTACCGACATGGCCATGACAAGTCAAACGAGAGTTCCAAGTCGGTTGGATCATTCCCTGCCACCACTCCATCTGCACTTTTCAATAGCTAGCCTCGTGAACGATTCCTGACGTCGCGATACCAATGCATTGCAGCAGCATTCACGTGAAGTTGCCTGGCGCGACACCATTTGTTTCTGTGTTCAAAGGACAAAGCTAGTCCAACCTCGTTCGTGCCCATGGAAGCGTGCCACGGCGAGCTTCGACAGAAGCTCTTCTGCATCATCCCTTCTGCCAAGCCGTGTGGCGGCACCAGATGCACACTGTGTCGTATCCACGAGCTCGAGTTCGACGCAGTCGTCCGATCATGAAAACGAACCTTGCGGCCTCGTGACGGACTACACTTACGTGGCAGTGACGTGGATCGCAATTGCGGACGGGTTGGTCAGTGTGAATGCAAAGCACTTCAACCGGCAGCAACATGCACACCGTCGCCATCGTGCAATATACGAAGAATTGCCCGGAAGACGTCGTGCCCATGTGCCTCAGCCGCCAGCAAAGCAGCGTAAAGGCCGTCGCGCCATGCGCTCCCATTACCGCACCCTTGGTCCAGTATCGCCGCAGGGACCCGTCCTTGTCGTAAAGGTAAGGTAAACTTGGCCACCAGTGGAGTGGAGGGCTATGCACCAAACGTCGAACGCGGGCCATTCCACCCGACGTACATTACGGCGGCTAGCCATTCCAAACGCATGCTCGCCCCAGGAACGATGCATGCGATCGTTCCACCATCCTGTGCCAGTTTGAACGAGCGAAATGTGGGACCTCGCCGTTTAGACAATGCCATGCTAGTTAGTGCAGTGAGCATCTCGGGCAAGCCGTATTGCAAGTCCGCTGACTACACACGAGGTATGCCTGTGCTGCCGTCGTGTCCACCAAGATGGCATGTCATCAAACACGTTGTGTGTGCCAGCGCATTCCACACGAAGCATAGAGCACGTGCCTCCGAAGCTGCCGACGACACGGAGCCTTCCATCGAGCCACATCCTAC